TTCCCCCGGAGGAGCTGGAGGAAGTGTCTGGAGAGAGGGAAGTCTGGGCATCTTTGTTTAAACTGCTGCCCCCGCGACCCGGTCCCGGATAAGCGGAGGAAAATGGATGGATGGATGGATGGAGATAAGGCTGTCCACAACAGTCACACTGACTACACGACTTGCTCATCTCAACACACACATTATTTATTCTACTATTAATGATTAAGGCAGCATTTGTTTTTTTGTCTTAAATCCCCTTTAACATTGTGCTAGTGCGACCTGTACACTGTAGCACTCAGTTCAGTTCAGTTCACTCAGTTCTTGCCAACTTTTACACAAATATGACCCAGGCAGGAGCGTCCTGGTGAGCAACTAGAATGTCCCATGTGTCCCAAAACTCAAACACAGATTAGGTCTTGATGTCAATTTATACAAAGTGTTGATTACTTACAGAGGTTTATAGACTTACAATTTAGCATAATAATATTTCAATGGAACAATGTTAGCACTAGAATGTTACAAAATAACAACCTGAACATAGTTTTAGAATCCTAACTAGCCTGAGAGTACTCTGCTAAAGGTATGCTAAAGAATGAGATGCCATCACAGGTCAAGAAGCTTCACAAGGGGGTAGGACAGAAGAGCTGGAGGGTCTTTAGCTAACAGCAACTGGTGGTGGATCATGGACAGGGGTGGCACCAGCAACCACCAGAATCTGATTGGTCGCCTCTGGTGCCAACCCTGCCAGAGTGCTCAGAGTGATCATGCAGTAATTTGCAAATACAATATTTTATTACATGAGCCTTTCATATTTTTCCTGGATCAGTGTTGATTTGCAGCCTTCCCCTGGCTCACCAGCCATGTTTTATGTTTCCAGTGGACTCCCATCTCTATTTAACCTGGATGTAAGGTGGTGTACTGGGTACAGCAAACACACTAACAGCCATTATCTTACATTACCCTCAGTCTAAGAGGTGAGTTACTGAGGGAGATTTCTGCTCAGTGTATGAGAATTCATCCTTTGTTTTAGTTAAAATGCTGCTTTTACACAATTCAACTTACACTCAAATTATCAGTCAAGATGCTGAAAACACTCCCATACTTTTTGCTGCCGACTACCATACTGATCAGCCCATGTCTCCAGCCACAAGCCAGTCTTTCGTCAACAACAGTTCCTAGCAGGCCTGGTGAGCAGCAAACCCACTGTATCATTAGCCAAACACTGGTTAGAGAGTGCTGAGCGAAACACAGCCAGTCCTTACCAACTAGCAATCAACAACAACACAAATACAGCATGGGAAACCCAGCGCCATACCAAAATGTTAGCAGCCTTCCTGCAGATGTCTCATGCAGCTAATCTCTTTGTACAGGCATATATGACATTCAGCCTCTAACACTCATTGGCTGCCAGCTGCTTTCAAAGAGTGTCTGGCGCCTCTCTCTTTAAGAGTTGATGAGAGAGAGAAACAGAGAGATGAAGAGTGTCATTCCCTGAAAGACAAAAAGATAAGTCATTGAGACTGTAATGATGGGGTGGGACAGGGAGGGGGCAGCGCAGGGAGGAGACAGATGAGCCTCCAAAAAAATCAATCATCCACAGACCAAAACAAAACCAAACCAAAACAACAAACAAACAAAAAGCAAACTTGTTTCCAGAACCTATTACGCTCTGTGGGTTTAAGCTAGAATCATCATACACATTTTATTAGAATCAGTCAGTTTACTTGATTATTTATGAACCATTGCTTTTCATTTCTGCTTAACTGATACTGTTCTCATGGTCGAGTAAACACAGCTTCAGCACAATAACAAGCAACTCACCCTTAACTCAATAGCTTTCTTCCAAGTGGCTTTTTCTCCAGGGCAAATTACATAAGAATAAGGGACTATCCAACTTGTTATATGAGGCGTATCAGTGTGAAAGCAATATCTGCAAATCTTCTTTCACTGCCAACTGAGCATAATCAAACAGAGACTGTGATACGGGATGGGGGTATTCAGCTAGTTAGGGATTTCTTACAATTTTACATCAGATGCTGAGAAAGTAGCTAATTCAAATGTAAAGAACAGAGGTATGAATGTAAGAAAATATCATTAAAACCCCAAATCCCTGAATTTGATGAAGAAAAATGAAATGATATTAGCTTAAGGGTACATGTTTTACCTTTTGTTCTGGGCATGTTCCTTAACCAAACCTTGTTCAGACGTTATTTACACGTTTCCATACATTTTGTATATCTAAAAATGATGATTAGGCCTAAAAGTGTATTAGGTACTTTGTTATATTTTGTCATTTTATCTCATATATAGTGCAGTGGCACTGGCAAAGATCTGAAAGTGCTGTGTTTCTAAGTTGGGGTCCACTTGTCTCTTATCATCCTCCCAGACTTAATCTGGGCAATGTACAGTACTAAGCATGTGACCCTGACTCAGGCCTAGTCAGTACATTAGGTTGACCATGCCCTGTGTCACAGTGGGAAAAATTCTCCTGCAAATGTCAGGAATCATCCACAACATTCAGTGAGTCATAATTTCAATGCTTAAATGAAAACTTTTATATTTTACTATGGTGTTTAATATGACAGACTCAAGCGCATGAGCGGTTATTTATGCTTGAGAGCCAAAAGATGGAGACATGGGGAGAAATCCTGTCTATGTACACAGGCAAATCTCCCCTTCCCTCTTCCTCTCTTTGCATTTTCTCTCTATCTCATTTCTCATTTCTCATTTCTCTCCTGGCCCTTAGTCTCACTCTGTTATTCTCCCTGTGAATACCTTGACCCTAGACTTAAGGTAGCTCCACATCATTGATTGAATCAAGAGGAATGGGCGGTGCCATGACAAGATAGATTTGTTCTTTAAAACGTTATGGATTACAGACATATGGAAGAAAGGGAGATTTCTAAGCAACCAGGGCTGCTGTTAACTCTGTTAAATTATGTATTGAGTATGGTCAATCAATTAAATTAGAAGCATCTAGTTACTTCTTGGCCCTGACTACGTTATGATGGATGGTGTGATGACATGAACTAACTGTTTCATCACATTATTGCCCCACCCAGAAATCTAATCATCCCTCTCATCCTATCAGTGTAGTCACTAGGAAAGATCTACTGTATGTCTTGGCTCTGCACTCTTAATGTTCCATTTATGCACCTCAGTG